GTAACCAACACAAATACAAAAGACAACCCATGAGCCTATGTGAATAATCAAAGATACATCATCGAATACCCCGTTAATATTACATAATATCCCAAAATACAACTTGAAACATCTCATGAATATAGTGTGAACAAACAAAAATATATCATAGAATATCACATATATTACAGAACATCGTATGTATCTCGTGGAGTACAGAAAAATAAAATAAAAAATAATTAGAGTAAAATAAAAAGGAGAAAAATATAAATAAAACAATCCACATAAAACATAAAAAGAAAAGGAAATGGAAAAATAAAAATACTCATAAAACATCATATTAATAATACATAAAAAAATAAAAATACATCATGTAGCATCTCACAAACCCATCATATAGAGAAATGAAAAATAAAAAATAAAAAGAGAGAAAAATAGAAAGAATAAGAAATAAATAATATATCACTAAATAGAATCACAAAATTAATAAATAAAATAAAAACATAAAATGGGAATAATAAATAAAACAAATAGAAAATAAAATGGAAAGTAAATAAAAAATAGAAAAAGGAAAGGAAAAAAAGCTAACGTGTACTAGGTAGAGAATCGGATATGCTAATTATTGCCTGGCGCCCGCGCCAACGCCGGGTGTGACTTGGCCTGCGCGTCTTTGTGAAGCGTCGATAGGCGAGCTGCTGGTGCGCTGCGTGAGGTGATATGGGCCCGCTACGCTCTGACTTACGGCCCAACAAGCCTGTTTGGCTAAGACTAAAACGATCGTATACGATCGTAGATTATTATTGCTGGTTGGTTTAATATAAAATAAAAATATTATTTTGACTAAAAATTTACGATAGTTTACGACCAGGCGAACACGCCGTAATCAGGAGAACTGGTCGGCAAAATTTGAGGCTAGATGGGCGTGACCGTGACGCTTCCTCACGAGCAAACGCGCTGCGGCGACCGCAGCTCGAAGAGCGGACGAGACGGGTGATGGCGGTCTACTCCTCGGCAGCTAAGGGCAGGTAAAATTAATAGTCGATTCAACTGTCATATCAGCCACATGCCCACATGCACGCTAAAGGGAGAGGGAAAGCTATGTTTGGCGTTGATTTCGTCGATTAACTCGTCATGTCAAGACGCTTTTCCTGTATGCAGGATTTAACTCTTCCCTCCTATCCTTATATATTCAATAAAAGACAGTATTTAGATTATGGAGAAACTAACTGTTGTATATGTTAGACCCTAAAATTAAAGTTTTATGACTAACAGCCATCGTGGGAGGGCGCGTGCCAGCACTCGGCCTAGGAAGACGAACCCGCGTGCTGTATAGGCCAAGAATGGTGGTAGGCAATAGGCATCCATCCGTGCTTGTATGCACGTATTGGGATCGGAATTGTTTGATCCTCGTTGTGTTTCTCCATGTTGATTTCGATCTAGCTCGAGATTGGGTTGTGTTCATCCGGCCGGATTTGAATTTCTTTCTAATTGCCCGTCCATACCTGATTGATTTGTGATGTGAAATCACATGAAAAAAACTGGTGTAACGAGCGAGGACCATGCGCATGGGAAACACTGTGCGGATTTATGACTGACGTGTGACCCATGATAAGTTTGATTAAAATACTATGTTTAAGGCTATCTCCAACATAGCCGACCTAAATTTCACCGTTTGGGTCACGGCACAGTAAATAAGTGAGCTACCCAAATTCTTCTGTTTCCAACGGCGAACGCAAAATATCTTCGGTCCTCTCTCTCCCACGCGGCTGCCTTGCTCTCTTCCTCTCTCTCCCACGTGGCCGTGTAGGGCATGGCGACGGCGACGACGTGGGGTGACGACGCGCTCTGGCACTGGGGCGGCGCCCGGATCCAGCCCCCCCTCTCCTTCTTCTTCCCCGAGCCCGGCGGAGCTCGCACCCGCGTCCGGGCCCCCTCCCTCTCCTTCTCCTTCTTCACGCCCGCGGCTCGGCGGAGCTCGCGCCCGCGCCCGACGGAGCTCGCCCCCGTGGCCCGGCCGAGCTCGCGCCCGGATCCGGCCCCCCTCCCTCTCCTTCTTCTTCCCCGAGCCCGGCGGAGCTCGCGCCCGCATCCGGCCCCCCTCCCTTTCCTTCTCTTTCTTCGCGCCCGCGGCTCGGCGGACCTCGCGCCCGCGCCCTTCCCCGATGGCTCCTACGGCCCCACCATTTGCGTCGTCTCTCTTCGAAACGCAGATTTGCCTTCCGAATCGCAGAAGACCCAGAATGGGTATCTGGTTTCGGTCGTCCGTTGGAGGATGGTTTTGGTACCCAAAAACATTGTGTAGAACGCATTTTTGCGTTTAGGTCACGCCGTTGGAGACAGTCTAATATGATATCATGACCCAAATATTAGCTGCACAGATTGCACGACGTTCGTGTAGAGACGATAAGCATCCAAATTTTGTTTTCAAAATCACTAGGAAAAAGAAAACCTCAAAGATCCTCTTTCTAATTTTCTTTATTACTTTATGGGAATAACTAACGTCTAGATGTCAGGACGAACGCTCACATTTGAACTCGGCTCACGCTAATAGACCAGAGCCCGCGCCGCCTGTTTTTACGCACCACCGCGTCAACCCCATATTGTTTCCCGCAGTGGCGGATGCAGAACAAGATTGAAGGGGGGCTGGTCTCTTCTTCTTCTCTCTCTCTCTCTCTCTATTTTTCTTCTTTCCGCCACCTCTTCTTCTCCCTCACCCTCCCCATATTTCCATTGATGCACCAGCTATAGGGGGGCTGGAGCCCCCCAGCCCCCCCTTAGATCCACCCATGGTTTCCCGTCCTGACCGTTGCGCTCGCTCTATTTCACGCACTCACATGAGACTGCCCACCGTTGCTTCCCGCCCTAACTACCACGCCTGCACGCGGGAACCCACATGGGTCCCAGTCACCTGCCCCGCCTGTCAATGTGCGCCGTGGATACATCTGTCGATCTCAGTCGCCCGCACGATGAGCCACGGCGGTGCCTCAGCAGCTGCAGCAGGTGGCTACGGCAGGTGAGTCCCATTGCAACATGTGCAACACCAAATCTACTTTTGCAACATCTAAATGAACACTTGCAACATACATACAAAATAGTTGAAACACTTACAACTTACATCTGCAACACTTGCAAAACACCTGAAAGCACTTCAAACACGTAAATTGCCACTGCAAACATATGCAACATCCATATGAAATACTTGCAACATACGTATGAAACACCTAAAACACTTGAAACATGTGCTTGCAACATGTGCAACATCCAGATCTACTTCTGCAACATCCCGATGAAACAATTGTCATACGTCTGAAACACCTAAAATACTTGAAAGATACGCTTATGCAACATCCAGATGAAACACTTGAAAATATACAACTGAAACACCTGAAACACTTGAAACACGGCATCGACGGCGGCCACGGCCCGTCGCGGTAGGAAGCTCGGGTCGGTGGTGGCGCGGCTCCCTGTTGTGGTGTCTTCGGCCAACGGCAACCTTCTCCTGGTGGCGCCGGGGTAGTGGTGGCGCGGTGAACGCCGCCGCCACGACGGGCAAGGCAGAGTAAGATGCGGCATGGGACGCAGCGCGTGCAGGATGGGGCGCGGTGGGGGATGGCCGTGGCGGTGAGGTGGAGTAGGGCAGGTGGACGGCACGTTGAAGACCCGGACGGACGGACACCTTCCATGGGAGGGAACAAGGGTTGGTGGGATCACCAGGGAGCAAAGCATGGCGTCGAGGAAGGCATGTGGGGGTGGATGCAGTGGCGCAGGGAGGAAGCAGGGAAAGGAGGAAGGTGGGTCCGCACGGCGACGCATGGATGCAGCAGCGCAGCGAGTGAGCCCTTACCGTGGAGAATGAGCGAGTCGTGTGGGCCTGTGCGAAGATGCTGAAGCAGTGCGCCAACTCGTTTAGGTCCGTGACAAGTTAAAGGTGGATGCGGCTGAGGGAAAGCGAACAGTCCGAACACCCTATTTGAAGCATTACTGTTTCTTTATAGCTCATTTCTTATCAAATGTATACTCTTGTTTTCCATCCAAAGCTGTACCTCTAGAAAGATACTGTTTCCATACCTCTTTTCTGGCCCAGAAAACTCGTTCCTGCTACGTCTATGGCTTGGCGATAGAAACACTACTCCGACCTGCGAGCACTACGCGAGTGGAGCGTTGGATTTGTTTTTTCTCATATATCGTGAGTGGATTGGCTGTCCGAAGGTATTCGCTGTCGGACGTCAGATCATGTCCAACCTTCATAGCATCACCGAAAACCAACAACAAAGGCCTATTTGCTGCTTTCCGCAGATAAAATAGGTAACGATGAAAACGAAACGGAAATATTTCGAATCGAATCGTATCGTTTTCTATATTTAATCCGATCGAATTTGTATTTTCTTGTCCGATTTTACCGTTTTTATTTTCACATTTGAGATATTTCATATTTCAAATGTAAAAATAGAAAACGGTTTACACATTTTCCAGACCGTTTTCTACTTTTCTATTTTTAATTTGAAATATTCCGAATTCAAAATTCGGTTGGCCAACTGCACAGGTCATACAGCCCAATTAGAGGCTGCTCATCACGCAGCTGCGTTTTTTCTACTGGTGGCTAGCTGCCCTCTCTTATATACGGAGCCCAGCTTCATCTCTCTTATTATGTATTTGGTCGTGCACTTGTTTAATGCTATGCACTTGAACCAGATCATGCACTCGTTAGTTGTGAACTTGTTATGTATTTGGTCGTGCACTTATTTAATGGTATGCACTGTGGATCGGTATTTCGTATTGATTTTTCGTATACCGACCGTGTTCGATATAATTCCGCTCGAATTGGTTCGTTTCCGAAATTCTAGATATTCCGTAAGTTTGTGTTCGTTTTCGTGTCCGACTTGTCCACTTTCGCTTTCGCTTCCACTTTCGCTTTCGCTTTTATATTTTAAATATAAAAATAGAAAATGGTTGAGGAGTTTTTCGAACAAGTTCGACCATTTTCATCCTTATCGAGGAGCATCCACAGACAGACATCGTCAATGGCCAACGCGGCCACTGCCCCTCTCCTAACAAGCAGCCAGGAGGCCGAGCCGGCGAAGGAGCCATCCATCGATGACGTGATGGAGATGTACATCGGCGCCACAGGCATCCTGCAGCTGCTCAAGGCCGTCCTGGTGGCCTTCGCGTGGGCCTTCGACGCGCAGCAGGTGTTCATCTCCGCGTTCACGGACGCCGAGCCGCGGTGGCACTGCCTTACTACTGCCTCCGCCGGCGACTCCTCGTGCTCCCCGGCCGCGGCCTCGCCGTGCGCACTCCCGCCCGGCACATGGGCGTGGGACCGGCCGGGCGAGGCGTCAGTGGTCTCCGAGTGGGCCCTCAGCTGTGCCGGCCCGGCGCTCGTCTCCCTCCCGGCGTCGTCCTTCTTCGCCGGCTGCCTGGCCGGCGGCTTCCTGCTCACGACGCTCGCGGACTCCCTCCTTGGCCGCAAGAAGATGCTCCTCGTGTCCCTGGTGTCCATGTCCATCGCCGCCGTGCTCACCATCTTCGCGCCCAACGTTTGGGTGTACGCCGCCCTGCGGCTGGTGTCCGGGTTCTTCAGGTCCATGGTGGGCGCGTGCACGCTGGTGCTGTCCACGGAGCTCGTCGGGAAGAGATGTCGTAACATGGTCAGCGCGGCGGCGTTCTTCGGCTTCGCCCTCGGGTTCTTGTCCCTCCCCGCGCTCGCCTACGCGTTCCGCGACGCGTCCTGGCGGAACATGTACTTCTGGACGTCCGTGCCTTGTCTCTGTTACTCCGTCCTTATCTACTTCCTAGTCCCGGAGTCGCCACGGTGGCTGCTGGTGCGCGGCCGGAAGCTGGACGCCATCGAGGCGCTGCGGCAGATCATGTCGCTCAACGGCAGCTGCGCAACCGCCAGCTTCTCCCTGCTGGACGGGTGCACCATGCACGAGGACAACGACGCCGGAGCGAACAGCGGGGGCGTCTTCGCCACGCTGCAGGCTATGTGGGAGCGGCAGTGGGCGTTCCGGAGGCTGGCCGCGATCATGGCGGCGAGCTTCGGCGTGGGGATGTTCTACTTCGGCATGCCGCTCAACGTAGGCAGCCTGGGATCCAACCTCTACCTGAGCGTCACGTTCAACGCGCTAGCCGAGCTGGCGGCGGCCGTCCTCACGTGGCTCCTCATCAGCCGGAGCGATAGGCGGAGCTCGGTGATCGCGCTCACCGCGGCGGCGGGGGCGTGCAGCCTCGCGTGCGTGGCCATCCCGCGGGGCGCCGCGGCGGCGCGCATGGCCGCCGAGGTGCTGTCCTTCTTCGCGGCGTGCACGGCGTTCGACGTCCTGCTGATCTACTCCACCGAGATGTTCCCGACGTCCGTGCGCAACTCGGCGGTGGGGCTGGTGCGGCAGACGATGGTGCTGGGCGGCGCTGCGGCGCCCGTGCTCATCGCGCTGGGCCGCGAGAGGAGCATCTGGTCGTTCGGCGTGTTCGGGATTGCCATCGGCTGCTCCGGCCTCTTCATCCCGTGTCTACCGGAGACGAGGGGAAAACGCATGTCGGACACCATGGAAGAGGAGGAGCGCAACGAGGCCGCCGTGGCGTCTTGCACTGATAGCAACAGCTACCTCGTGTAATCGCAAGCTAGCGTTCATGTACAATAACTGATCTGTCTGCGTGTGTCACTAGCATGACCTATGAATGAACTGCCGTCCTGTTGATGCGTACTACGGAGTAGAGTAATTTACGAGTACTCTCCTTTGTTTATACAAATCACAGTGCAGTATGCAGTAGCAGTCGAGCAGACAACCAAATCTATTACGCGCCATTTAGATCCTTTTATTTTGGAAAATTGAAATCTACCTGATGAATTAGATTATCTGGCTTAAAATTTGATATTTCACAACTTTCTAAAATTCAAGTAAAAGCATATCTTAAATCATAGATGAGATATGAAAATTGATTTCATAGACCAACATGCTATATTTCTATTATGCTACTTATAGCACACGCTTTGGTTCACTCTTTGATCCTATAGCAGAAGTACAACACATAAGTACATCGTCAACTATAGTATATAAATATATTCTACATACAACCATATTAATTTAATTGATCAGTGTCTAAATTATAATTATTAGAATGGATTTTAATTCCAAGGAGACCTCAGTGTCACTTATGACATCAAGGCCTACCTTAATCTTAACCTTATTAGCTAATAAAAAAAACTACTAGTTTTCTAGCTGTCTTGATCAAAATTGCGTGCCGGGGCCTGATTTGGCCACAGAGGGCGCACACATACCTACATTGACTTGGTAAGGCCATAGATAACAGCCAAATCAACATTTATTTTACGATACAATAAGTTTGCAATCAGTCACCAGAGTCACGTCCAGTTCCTGCTCATCAGAGCTATTGTTGTGCCGCTTCTGCTTTGACGACCTTGAACCTTCAATCCTTGATTACACCTTTAGTGGAATCTTTGCGATCAGAATTGCAACAGTTGCTTGCAAGTCGCTTGGAGGAAGTGTTGCGCCCTCTTAGAGACGAGATTTCTAACATCAAGTTGTGGTTAGCACGTATGACCAACCAATTGGAGGCGGCGGATCCTCTACAAGATCATACTTCGGTTTCCAACATGGCTGAGCTCTTCGAACCATGTTCTTCAGTTCGGCGCTCTCCAACACTGTCGGTCCCCACTTCTCTTGCTACGGCTTGCACGCCTACCGACTCTTCGGTGTGCGAGGACATATCTACAAACACTACGGACTCCATCATTGATGAGATGCCCACATTGATCACAGCTACAAAGATTCATAGAGAGACAGATCCCATCATTAATGAGGTGGCCACAAGGACGTCCGACAAAGTAGAGACCTCCAAGTTTTAGGAAAAACAAACGTTGATACAAGTTGCCACCTCTGTTGATGATGTTGTTCTTGTGGAGGATGCATCTAATGATGAGGAAGCTGGCCCAGATGCACAAGTGACAGTTGAAAACCCGATCTTTCTTATGACCATCGAAGATGCCTCTACCCTACCTACGACTGAGGTCAAGGTGGAAGAGCCACCATTAACAAAGGATCCATTGATTGTGCCTTCTTCGGTGACAATTGTTTCGAAGGGTGAGGATCTTGCATGCCCCCCTATGCGTCCCTCCTCATCACCGACCACGACAACAAGACGTCGACGCAAGGCCTATGACAGATCATCACTTCGTCAAAGTGCCCGCCTTGCGCAACGCAGTGTGTTAAAAGATTTGGGTATTGTTGGGAATGATGGGAAACTCAATGAGAGCACAATTGAAGACTACGCAGACCGCCTGCAACAATTGTTGCCGCTGGACCTTCTCAAGCCATTGATGGTTTAAAGGGCCGTGCTTTTTGGGACATGATGGCAGAGGTCTCCTTGTACTTAAGTTGTTTATCTTCGTTGGGGGTGTCTTTGTTGTTTGCTCTTGTTGAAAGCAGATCGTCGTCTTGATAGAGTTGGCCTAGCCTTGTGGTTGTTGTTTTTACGTTGTAAACTCTTGAAGCGTCGTTGTTTGCCCTGTCTAGGCCTTCTTATTAATATAATCGGTAGCTCTCCTGATTCATTTTTTCAAAAACAAGAAAACTAAAGAAACTAAAAAGATGACCACAAACACTATAGCATTCGGATGGGATGCATCGTTAAACAAACACTAATCCCTCACTTAAAAATGATACATCATATATGATATATCAATCTAATTAGCCTCAGTCCTTAACCTCCACATTTTCAATCATATAGAAAAATTAATGTTGTAAAGGAAATGCACCCATGACAGATCACCAGTGCAGAAAGGGGCTACAGACCTGGTTGGGAACCCCTTCAATCCTGATTTTCCAATTGGGACTGCGAATCTGCGACTAAAGCCCCCAAGTCCTGGTTGGTAGTACCAACCGGGACTAAAGAGGCCTCCAGCCCTTTCCCCGGTGCGGGCACATTTAGTTTCGATTGGTGTCACCAACCGGTACTAAAGGTCTATTTTTTCTTTTTCTTTCCCTTTTCTTTTATGGTTTCCATTTATTTGATGGTTTCTTTTCAATTCAACCGTTTCAATTAGTTTTTCGAATACATATTCTATGCTACTAATATACGTCCATACATATAAGTTTCACTTCGAGCATTATACATATATATACACACAAAAAATATATGAAACTATACATATATTTCAAAAGCTTGTACATGGAACTATACATAAGTTAACACATGCTTGAACTTAATCCTTTCCTTTTCACTTTCACAGTCTCCCTGTGTATCATGAAAGGCCTGACCAAGATCATCAGTGGGCTCATCTTCTGCCGCTACCTCTTCTTCAGCTTCCCCATTGTAGTATCATCAAAGGCACCGTATTTAGCGAACCCACGAATGTTGTCATTATCCTCTTCTTCTTCATCTTCTTTTCATCATAACCCCGCTTTCTCCATGCTTGGTCCAATAAATATAGCCAGGCATGAAACCCGACCTAAACAGGTGTTCGTGAAGGATCCTTGAGGAAGCATAATCCTTCATATTTTTATAGAGGACACATGGGTAGCACATGAAAACATTCTGCTTGTTTGCCTTGGCCACAATTAGGAAATCATGCACGCTGTGGCAGAACCACCCAAATTATATGGCCCACATGCACCTATCATTGTTCTAAAGACATCTGACTGCTGCACATGAGAGCCAGATAATTTTGATAGTCTGTCAGGTGTCCTCGGGGAACCCCGAATCATCCACATTTTATAACTCATACAGGATCAACATGGAGATACCACAACATTATAATATTTGGTACAAAAATAACTTACATTGGAGTGCGGAAGACTTACAATAATAGTTTACAAAACATGTTCAAGTAAAATCTTAACTTAAGTTCCAAAATGTGAGTAGTACTACAAAGGAAACTTAGGCGAAGCACCTAAGGTAGGAGAGACCACCAGATCATGTTGAGCCCACTGACATGACCTTGATTAGCAGCACAAGTGAGAATCTACAGCAGGGGTTAACAAACCCTGAGTATTTGAGGGTACTCAACAAGTTTTACCCGACTAAAAGAAAAGACTCCAAGGGCATGTAGGCTTAAGGGAAAGTTTGAAGCAAGAGTAACTTTTGCAGAAAAGCTTACTATAAGTGGATCCTTACTTTCAATGTTTTAGCTAAGTATTAATTCATTATTAGTATCCAGTTTGCACCTGTTCTATATCAATCACTTCATTAATCATCTCATCTCAACTTATATCATCTTGTATCCATAAGTAACAATGTTCCATTGCTTAACTACGATGATGGTGAGAGGATCAAGTCTCTTGTTACCGTAGAGCAAACGATGATTCGAATCGATTAGGGCCAGCTGGGGTTTCCTTACCACACGACATATGCAGTTCCTAGGCCTACATATATCAACCCTCACTCAGATCTTCCAAAATGAGAATGGGTTTGCGCCACCCGAGAGCACATACTCCACCGCCGTATGCCATCCCTGATGTTTGCATAGGGTAGGTACATGCTACTCTCGCCATCTCTCCACTCCCAGTGCATGGTTGTCCTTTCTCATAATGGAATAGCCGAGATATTAGTCTTACCAGAGTATGTGGCCAGTACTTGCAAAAATCTTGATCCAAGGGCCAACAACGATCGGTCCTTAACCGACACAGCCGGGACAAGCATGACTAGGCAACCCTGTCGGCTTAACCACCAAAGACAAAACCCATATCTCGTCCGGTCTCAATTTAATCCATATTTATTATTAAACCCTCAAGACATTTCCTGAGTATAGAACCATTGCGAATGATGAACTCACCACTTGACTTCTATTGGCTAAGCATGGCTAAGCACTAGAGGTGTCGACCTACACATGCTAGTGTGGTAACTAGGAATACATGAATATCAAGGTAATCATGCAACAATGGTATTCGATCAACTCCTAATTATCTAATGCACATCTCACAAGACTTAAGGTGTAATAACAATTTGTAAATACTAAGAGGGGTTTATACTTCGGGGCTTGCCTGCGTTGCAGAGAAGGTTAGATTCCACAGAAGGATCCAGAAGTTAAACTTCACACCAACACCACTGGTGGATGGACCTTCGCTGAAACTCGATCAACACGAATCTTCTCACTCACGTGCACTACATGTAATAAGATGATGCACGCTTAACATGTTGGAATGTATGCCATGATGCATGATGAGAGACACACACAAGTGCATGACAAAACTTAAACTAACCTAAGAAAGTTGAGTACAACTTTCCTTCACAGTACAACTAGGTTATACTTCACAAAACATTCCAATTATTTGATTAACAAGTCATTCATGTGCTTGTCAAGAAAGCAACATTTACCACATCACACTAGTCAAGAAGACTAGGCAAGACCAATCATATTGACTTGAGCACTAGAAAGCAAGGTATTTGAATTAAACATTATACAAGCCTATCATGCTAAGATAGCAAGACATATCAAGCTTACTTCATTCAACCAGCAGATTAGAAGTACATAAATGTTTCACTTTTATGTTAATCACCTCATGTTCATTAAGTTATAAGAAATATGATCAAAGCCTTACTATATATATATATATAACAACACTTCAAAGCATCATGCAAACAAGACTCATAATAA